ATGTTTCTCATAATTGTATGAGAGGTGGAGGGGGGTATTAGTAGAAGAAGCTGAGTCTGGATTATTACTGTAGACTATTGGCTGTTGGGGTAGTTGGATGGATGCTTGAAGTAGGCAAGTGTTCAGGCAGAAATTCATTCATTCAATTGTTCAATTGTTAATACTTTAATAATGAGATTATTAGTTCGTGACTTTCACTGAATTGCACATTTGAAAGAAAAAAAAAATCTTAGAATCATGAGAATTAAAAAATAACTTAATAAATTTTCTAGCAAATCATTATTAATGTTCATTACTCAATTGGTAAGTACATAGTACTAACCATATTTTAATATTTTTAAGAGAACCATTTCAATTGCTCTTGAAAATTTTCATATGAATATATGAAGTACCAACTTCTCAAATTATTGTGAGTAAAAATCATATTGAATTTCTTAAAAAGTTTTGTATCATTAGTAAGAAAATATCATAAATTAATTTTTCAAGGACAAAACAAAATGAAAATATCCAAACTTTGATCAATTGATATCTTGAAACCGATTTCACAATCGTGACCTAAGTTCTAATACTAAATTAAGTAAGACTTACTTTACCGAAATTGCTAAATTGTACATAACTTCAGTTAGCACAGAATTGATATTTTCTTGTCTAGCGAATCTGCTATATTTTTACTTACAATCATAACTAATTGGTTCTATAAATTATTTTAGAAAAATATTGTGACAAATTGCCTTGCATAAACAGATGAATTTGAAATGGTTCGTAATTCTATAAATTTCCTGGCATATCATGAAATTTCTGTCTTAAACACTCTTAATATAAATGGTATCACATTGCATGACATAAAACAGTTACGCATTTCCACTTCACACAATGATACCGCAGACCATAACGACCCCCAAACGGACTGCAGTGGTCAGCGTATATACAACATTATAAGCTCGGCTCTCCCATTCCAGTGAAATTGAAAAGATGACAGTTGAGTGAGTTTGGGAAGAAGAGAGGCCCCTTTTAGCAATTATAGATTTTTAATTTATAAAATTCCTCTTAAATTCGTTCTCTTCTTTAAAGTCCTACACATAACAAAGTGATTATAAGGTGGTAGACCAAGTCACATAGCATAATTTCCTCGTACATAATGTCGTGTCAGCACCTCTACCTTAGTACTGAGGTGATTAACTAGCACGTTTCTTGTCCAGTTTAGAATTTGTAGATCTGGAGATCTGATAGAATTTTCATTTGCTAAGTTTTTTAGCTATACTTAGATGTTTTTGATTAATTGCAAGTTTAGTCATTGCAAGTGGGATACCAATATTCGAGAAGGTATCGCTTGCTTTAGCTCAAGCAGTTCCCTGAGTCCAGGTAACATTGTGAGTTGAGAAGCCCTGTATTAAAGAAGTAACATTAAGGGTTTGTTAACATCTTGTTTGTCCCAAAATATTCGATATATGCATTGGCTATCTTGTTGCATAGGACCCATTTTGCTGTATAGTGAATGGCCATCATTTGTGTATCAGAGACATGGCACTAATTCGGTAGAGAGGTGCTAAGAATCAATTTATATGTATGAAAATATAACACCATCGACTCTTTTGTCTATTTTGGATAAAGTGAATTTATCTCATTTTTATTGAAATCAGAAACACTAATTTTTTTGCTTGAATTAATACAATCATCAAACACATTTATTATTGTCCATTTATAATTTTAAAGGAAATTTTTTTATGAATTCATTTTAGTTTCTTAAAAAGTCGGAATATAATATTGTTTCAGGTTATTTATTTTATATTATTTGAAATATTTTACTGTAAATATTTTAACCAATTTCTCTCAAGCAAATTGCAAATAAAAAATAATAAATACTGCTACACGGTATTAAGATGTTTTGTTGATGAGATTTTATAGATTATGTTATATTGTGCAGAACTTAGCAGGAGCAGACTTGTCCATATTGGGAATACAATCATTGCTCTATACATCGTACAGAATAAATAAAAACCAAAAAATGAGCTTAGGTTTACTAAAACACTAATTATTGGTTAACAGAACTGTTATAATTGCTTTTAACAACACAAACCATCTTAATCGTGATGTATAGTTTTCCTAGCTTAGTAATAATACCTAGACCTATAATAAATATTTACAGAGGATACAGAGAAATGTCTATTGTTAGCGAAGTATGCTTAAAAATTTTTATAAATTCATGTCATGTTATAAGTCATTCATATCATGTCGTTAAAAGAAACACAATAACTATCTTCTGAGAAGTGAATAGATGATAGCCTAGTATATAGACTATAGTCACATTTTCCATTAAAAGATCTTTAGTACATAAAGTCGATATATAATTATAACTTCAATTCCATTGAGACCTTAAATTTCACACAAACTCTGCCATAGACGTGTGCCAATAAAGTCACTTGCAAGCAATTGTTAAACTCATTTAGAATAATTCTATAAGAACCAAAAAAAATATGATTAAATAATTCCAGCCGTAAACATACGTTCAAGGATTTGAATGCCAACAAATATAAATCAAAATTACTGAAAAAGACATAAATTGAATAAAAATGTGAGAAAATCCTTAAATGCTACAATGTGAAAAACTTTGTAAAGGATTTAAATGTATAACTAACATTAATAATAGTTGAAGTAAATTCCCAAGAGTGAAATACTAGTCAGAATTATTAGTACACAAGACAAAGAAATTCTTACAAATGAGATAAATAAATTTCAGGGATAATGCCAAAGCATACGCATTTTCAAATAAAATCAAATGAAACTGTAAGGGATGAGCACATTGTGGAGAAACACTACCAGCAACTCTTGATGCACCCAAATTGTTATAATTCACACGCGTCTTAGCGGTTGGCCGTAGTGAGTTGGTCAGACTGGCACCACAAGCTAAGGATGCTGTACAGACGATCTGTAATAAGGATTTAACTAGAAAGCAACCTGCAGTGTTGACACGCGTTCAACATGTATTTTGCACTTGCCATACAGTTTTTTTTAATGCTTCCTTTGCTTTTTTTTACATACTTATTTTTCATTCATTGTTGTTGTTGTTGTTGTTGTTGTTGCTTTGTAGTATTATTATTCATTTATTACTTATTAACCCTGTAAATTGTAACAATTTGCCACTCAAACTTCATACGCTAAACTGCGAATACAAGCACTTGCAGATAAACAAACAAACAATTTAACACCCTTCTAAACATCATTCATAGATTCGAAGAGGGGAAGGACAGGAGGAAATGTTGTTTCCCAATTTTAGCTTGTTATTTTGTTAATGTTATTCTGATTGAACTTGAAATTATTCGCTGTTTACAAAAGTAATTTGTTATCTTTTTTTCGGTTTCAGTTTAATTTGTTTTTGTTAATTATTTTTTGTGTTTTGTCATTTATTTCAGTAGGTAAAGACGTCTATCGTACTTCTCGTATAGGACGTTTAAATAACCTTACTTTAGAGATTAAGAGCAAATTTTATCATTAATCATTTATTACAAGTCATTTATTATGGCATGTTTATTAAATTAATTAATTAATTTTATTAAATTTTGTTGAAAAACAATACTAATCGTTATAATATAGAAAGTACAGGAATATGAAAGCTATATAATATCTATTATAAAAAAGGAATTAGAACAAATAAATCCAAACTTAAATATATTTAATACGAAGATTAAATAATAAGAATTCATTTACAAAATTTGAAAAATTATCAGTTAAAATGACTTAAGTTTAAGTCGCAGCTATATGGGTATTGTAATTGTACTAAAATTAATAAAAATGGGTGAAATAATGAATTAAGATACTAAGTTGTTGTTACATTGGAACCAAATTTGATCCGAATAGTGGACTCATCACGGTTGAAGGTAAATGAAATTGGTTGGTGAAGACTGTACAGCCGGTAGAAAAAGTCATAGCTACCATTTTTTGGATTAACAAGAGCTTTTTTTAATTACTTGACAATTCTCAAAATCACACAGCATCAAAACAGTAGATTAAAAAAAAATTTTAACAAATTCCGCCGAAAGGGAAAACTGTGCTGTCGTTTTTTCTTTTTTCTTTTTTTTAATTAATAAACAACTTTGAGAAGTGTCGTTCAATGACACAAAGTTGTACTTTTCTGGTGCATCTCCAAAAATTTAAAACTGTATTCCAAATCAAATCTAAGTATTGCACATGCTCGCATTCCACAAACATCTACTTTCAAACAGCCCTCGCGAAGCCTGCTGCTTTTTCAATGGTCCTATCTCACCTCTTCATATCCGTAATATCTATCGCTTCTTTTCCAATTAAATACCAAGTCATTTTGGTTTTAATATCCCTTCCCATTGTCTGACTTGGCCTACTTTGATACCAACTAACATCGAATCCATTTGCATGTTTCTGATTGAAATTCAATATTCAAATCTCATTTACAATATTCTTATCTTAATATTGGCAATATTTAATCTAGCCTGAATCTACTTACTCACTTTCTGCTGTCCTCCCCTAAGTGGAGCATAGGACCTCAGCCTGAATCTATCTTTCCTATAATTTGTTATTATCAACGTTAATTGTATTAGATTACTTTGTAGTCTTAACGTCATTTTAATTTTGTTAATAATTTTATTATTATATTTTTATTAAATTGTAATAAATCTATTCTAAAAGTTAAAGCCCTCCGCTGCCAATACTTTCCAGTCCCATAACTATCAATCAACAGGTGTCGCTTCAATTAACTATTCATTTTTCAAAAAGTTAGATTTAATTCGAAGAATCACATTCGGATCAACCCGTCTTTTTTAATTAAAAGAATAAATACTCAATTGTACTATATGTAAAGTTGATTAAGTTAGCAATTTCTTTTTATTGCTTTATGAATATCTTCAGAATATACACAAATAAATGATATTTCTAACATTTTAATAAATTTAATTTAGAAATATATTGAAATTTTTTCTCTAAAACATATATTATTAAAAATATCAATTTTTTTTCTAAAATAAAGTGGATCTATAATATTTTGCTGCATTGTATTTTGTTTTTGTTCTGATTTTTATGCATTTTACATTTTTATTCTTGATCAGGAAATGAGTTATTCAATTCATTTTCCTTAGATTTTTCTACATTGCCATTTAATGGTGATGATGTTTTTCCAGGAAATGCTCCATTGGCTCCTTGTTCTTTTTTTTCTTCTTCATTTCTGTCTGAAGAATGTGGTTGATTAATTATATTCAACAATTCAGCATTAAAACGGTTTTCAGCTGACATTTCACTAGATGCATGTACAATCAATGAACTAGTTATTTGAAATTCACTTGTTGAACACTCTTGTATTTTTAAAGACGAAAGTGTAGACGTAATTTTGCTTGCACCTGCCGATTCAGACTGTTCAGAAATTACTACCTCTTCATCTGGAACATGAATTTCATAATCAATCTTTTTATAATCAGGTTTTACCTCTTCATATGGAACACGCTTTTTATGATAAATGCTATTAGCTGCTGCTTTCAATGAGAGAGGTGGTGTTTTCCTTAAAATACGAGGACTTGCCAGGCGCTTAATACCATCTGGTATCTGTGCCAATTCACCAGATGAAGCTAAAGCTATACCTTGACCATGTGTTATTTTTCTCGATTTCAGTTTCTTCTTATTCTTTCGACCAGTTTTAGCGCGATTTTTCTTTGTCTTCTGGCCGCGCTTGAAGCGCTTTTCAGAAATTATAATCGAATTCTCTATATTATCCATGTTTTCTTGATAGAACCCAGACGAGTTAAACTCACTATGCTCCATTCGAATATTAGAAATAGAGTCCTTGATCCAATCCGATGATAAGTATTCTGCCAACTATAAAATTGAAAAAAATTTATAAACATTTTTTAAAATTATTTCAGTTTACTTACATCCACCGTTGAGGTGTTATTTGATGCTTCGCTTAAGTGTAGTTCAGAAGACGATTTTTTTGACACGGGCTTTGGTGTTTTAGGAGGTTGTATCTTCTTCTTTCCACCACGTGCTACTTGCTTGTTTTCATCTGCTTTGTGTTCGCTACCTTTATTCAATTTACGCATAATTTTTCTTTGTTGTACTGGATTTATATCATCCTTTTTCGACTTACGTCTTGGGCCCGATAAAGCTTGAGTCAAAGTGGCTTTGGGACTACAATTGTATATATAGTAATTCTCCTGTTCTTGAGACACAATACACAACTTTTCCATGTTTTTTAATGACTTCATTACCACGATCGAAAGTTGCGGAACAGGGAGTAGTCTTCTCATTTGATAACGGACTCTACTAATTATGTCAGTATCTTTCAACGGAGTTCCACTTGGCTTACCAGATAATAGGAATTGCATTGCTAACAGAACATGTCTATTCACTTTTTTGGGCACATTAAATGAATCCATGTTTTAGCCGTGATATTGTAATGTACGTATGCAATATCTCTCAATATTTTGTCTATTAATTCACTTTTACAGACTCACGGATAATTTTATATATTCCACAGCAAAATAATATTTTCGAACTGCAGTTCAATTCAAATTTGTAAAACTTCTCAAAAAATATTTACTTAACAATTTAATATTGTGAAAGCAACTAAATGAAAAAAAAGAATTAAGTTATAAAATAATTTGATATAAATTTATTCAATTTATTTTCAAAGCAACTTGATTATACTTCATAAATGAATATTAATAGGAGTTATACAATACCATACATCCTAAATTTGTTAAAACTACTTTTTCCTGTGAAAATGGGTGGTTATCAATATATAATAGAATGTATTATTTCTAAAAGATTTTAGTTAGTTGAAGAGTTCCCTTTAAAAACTATGTTGGTTTTAAATTTTTTAAAATTTATGACACAACAATGGGCTCATAAAGTTTAGTTTATCTGCTAATTTAATAATCTTAGACTTTACGTACAATAATTTTTATTAAATTAATGGACGTAACCAGTAAGTGGCTCAGAGAGGAGCCACATGTTAAGAAATCTCTCTTTGTATAATCCAGAAAGGCTATCAAATTGCAAAGCTGCACCCAACTGACTACAAATACAAAATTCTAAAACTATGCTATCAATATATCACATTAAGTGATGGAGAATGGGGCAAGACCTTATATGTTGTATTTTTATTATGTACTTTTATAAAATATTACTTCGATTCATATGCCACGCTTTCGGTACGCCCATGTTCAAACCATTGAATATGTTATTTAACATAGTAAACATCTTTGACATTTCAGTTTTTAAATTTTTTTTCTTAAAATTGAAATATTACCACCTCTTCCAACTACAATTATTTGAAAAATTCCTTTTCCCCAATTTATACGAAAAAGAAAAAGAAACTATACTACAATTGGAACTTTCCAATTCCTTAATGTTCGAAAATGGGAGTTACCATTGTCAAAGTAACGTACCGATCTATTTGCAACATAAATCTATTGGTACAATTTTAAAATGGACATTAATGTATCAAAAGTAATTGTCTCCATTATTACAAGTTTTTAAAAACGAATTAAAAGCAAAAAATACCTACTCTGATACCTTATCCTTGTAAGGATGCGCTATTCTATGGAACACTTTACAAAAGGAAACATTTTATTTTATTTTCCTAAGCCAGTAACAACACATTTTGTTGTTTTGTAATAAATTTTCAATCAGCAAATTGATATCCTGATTCTGTCGATTGCGCCTCCACCCTAAAAACCAAAGCATTTGGCAGCATTGACTTGGTCATGCTTAGTGATTATTTGGTTTTACTTAATTTTATTTAACATTTGCGGTAAAGTGGGAGTAATTTTATTAAAAGTTATTTGCAATACAGACTGATTGATACCTTAAAGCCAATGATTTGATTATTATACACATCTACTTATACTTATCTTTGTAAGAAAGTTTTAGATAAAAAATATTAAATATTCGATTCAAATAAATGAAATACAATAGATTAATAACAACTTGGTACTTACTTTTAAACGGATTTGGTCCAGAAACGACTAGGAAACAAATTGAAACACACTGCTCAACTAAAAAAAATAATAACCTACAAAAGTTTTCAAATTTTTAAGTAATTTATTTTTCCTTTTTGACAAGTAAATCAAAGAATATTTAAATTGCAATTAATACATGTAGGTAGTCGTATTGTAAAAATATGCAGTTTATAATTTTTTGTAAAGAAATTATTTCCGTATCATTGCAAAAGTGCTCTGGTATATTGCAAAGAACTACACAAAGAGCTCCAAGTCCGAATTATTAAGATAGAAACGTTTAAAATTACAAAAAAGTACATTGGTACTTGCAGTTTAAAAAAATTTTTGACGAATAATTAAATACAAGAAATAGTTCCATGAGTACTGATGTTGGGTACTTGCCAATACTCGAAACAGGTGTATGGTCAGCATAAAATTTAATTTTTTTAAATAATATATAAAGAAGAATAATATAGAAAAGAAATGCATTTTAATATAATCATCCAAATGTATTTGCGATAAACTTCACCTTGACACCTTTTCAAAGATGCAAAGAGAAACATCCAGGTACCCCTTTTATGATTAGTTTACACCATTATCACATACATATATGTAGATAGAGGGGTTAGAAGGCTTTGAACAGTAATGAAAAAACAATAACATTTTTATTAATTTATTGAAAATTGGCTGACCATACAATATATTTACAAAATAAATTTATCAAAAGGGGATATCTAGGATAGATCCTAAAATGCTGCGGAAAGCTCCTATATACCCCGAAAAAACAGTTCTTTAAAATTTGAGAGATGTATACGATTTTGTGGGCTTAACTATTGCAGTATAGATCCTCAAAGTAGTTTTTGGGGAATGTTCACACGTTTGGTCAAAAACGCCTTGGCAACTGCAAAAGAAGTTAAGTGCTCGAGATGTTATATACTTCTAACGTTGTGACTAGAGAAGTTTGCTATCCAACATTATACACAGATAGTTAACTTCAGTACTTAAAGGAATGGTAACGCCGTTTAGTGCAGAGAGTAGCAAACATTCAATTTTCCTTATTCAATTCAAGAATGCTATTTTTGTTTTTAGAAGAGCTGACAGATGGCCTATTCTTTTATATTAATCCTCAATTGGCTTTAATGTTGATTGAGCTATACAATACGTCTCTATATGATATGATTTGATAAATAAAACTATATCCTCTCTTAATATTTTATACTACATATGTTAATGAATATCAACTATTTAAACTTTTAAACAGAATTTTGTATTAACTTAACTCTTCAATTTATTTCCAGTTGACAATTTTACTTCTTTATTTCTCACTACCCACTACCCATAGAGCTTATAATATTCATTCATATTTATTGTATAACTGAAAGTATAAATATATGGAAGTATGGTTGTTAATAAATGTGAATGCATCATGATTGAATGCACAAAGACGAAAGCTACTTTTTGTTCGAATGCATGCATTTGTGGTGTGTAAGTGCTTGCAAGTATCCATATCCGTGCGCCATAATTAAAATATTGGTAACCAATCAAATATTTTGAGTGCACCAACAGCAACTACAACAACAATAGCCACAATAACTTTGACAGTATTTCAATGCAGTTTACAGAAACACTGCGTTACACTGCACTGCACTGCACTGCGCTGCAAATATTGTACGAAAAAGCACTCAATAGATTTCAAGCCGTACTCCTAGAGTGCATTGGCAGAAATTTATCAATTTGCAACAAATATTTGCGCACTTCTACTGTGCAATTTACAAATTGCAAAATTGAAAATGCATTTTTGTATCTGATGTCTCGACTTGAGCTCTTTGTTGCGTACTCTGTTATGCATCTACAATTGCTTACAACTCTCGATACTCGTACTACTGTACTGAACAGGTGCAGATAGATATATGGCTTTTATTATTGGTTTACTTCATCAATTTTATCAACTTTATGCGATAAGTGCGGCTTTTGTTATTAATAAATATATACCCATACAATATACAGTATACACATATAGTCACTTGCTTGGTGAATATGTAATAAAACAACAAAAACAACAGCAAGTTATATATATGTAAATATATATTGAATATTCCATGAATCTCTTTACATTAAAGTAAAATGTATTTATGCATACTGTAGATACTCTACAATCTCTTACCTTGTCCAATTCCAGATACCAATTGCGGCTGCAGCTTTTATGCTTTGCATATTTGCACTTTGCAATTTTCAATTGACATTTTCATACGGCATATTTTTCAATAAAACATCAACATCATCATAATCGTTATAGTGTCATCACATGAGTATGGATTATATGTTCTTGTTGAGGTTGATGATGATTATCAACATGTTTATTTGCATCTATTGATTACAGTTAGAGATATATACGAGTAGATACTCTGAGTGTACTACGAGTAAGAGTATGTATAGTTCAGACAATTTTGTTCTATGGAAAATTGACTTTTTTCTTCTTTTTTGTTTTTATTAATAAACATACTCAAAAATTCTTTGATAAAAACATAAAACGGTTTTAGTGGGCGTGGTTGGTATGAGACAGAACCATGTTTTCAGTAGAGCCATCAAGCCTTCATCTATGCTCGTTGTGGAGTTTATTAAGTGCAAATTGCTGTGGAGTGTAAGTCGCGTTGCTGGTTTCATAAATTCATTTTGTTCACTTTGTTTTGTCGTCGTTTCAATTAAATTTTATGACAGCGTGAAATTGAAAATTGATTTAAATTTGTTTCTATTTGGTTTTAGTATTTCATATTGATTTAGTCTCCTTTCATTTTTATCACTGCTGAGTTATGAATATGAAGTACTTAATGTAATGCAATTATTGAATGAAGGGTACTTTTTCTAGAATTATCACTCTATTTAATAAATTTAATTATACATTAACAAATACTCAATTATAAAAGAAAATTCTGTATTAATACTGTTGAAGTAATTTTATGATTATTCTAAATATAATATTATATTTGTAGTTATGACTACAGAGTATATGTAAAAATACATTTATCATTTAAATATTGTGCTTTCATCTCTATAATGTGAGCTAGAGATTATGAAGACTACTAAACACACAGGAATCCTTTCTGTTATTTAACGTGACATGTGTTCAAAAACACAATATATCAAGATAATGCGCCAATAAACGCCCTATTGGAACTGCCTTCAAATTCCGCCGGTACCAATGAAGATAAGTGTGTTAGTCAAATCTTCCATCTTGTTTAGGTGCGAGACCTACGTAAAATCTCTGCTACAATATGGGCTGTAGTACCCGGTATGAATACGCAATACCACGCCGAATGAATTATAAACAAATACCTGAACATTCTTCTCGCGTAAGTTTGGGTATTAACCACAGCCACTACGAATCCAACCTCATATGGTCAGAACAGCAGAAGGTGCGAGCCAACTGACAGCCTGTAGTTCCAGAATTTCACCTCTGGTCAGGCTTCGCAAGTGTAAACTGAACTTACTACCATTTGCACTCCATAACACTAGTGCCAGATTAGCACTGGGATTTTAGTCGCCTTTTACGACTGGCAATCATAACCGCAGGAAAATTCTAACCCCTTCTTTGCAGGGGGTTACTAAACACACAATACGTTTAATATGTAAGTGCATAGAGCAAGTTCTCAGTTTTGTCAGGTAATAGTGTAGACCAGAGCAAAACACGACCCTCGGGCAACATATGGCCCGCAACTAATAATTGTACGGCCCGCGATATGTGTCTAAACCAATTTTTTGTTTGTTATATTTTGGTAACATTAAATTATTTTTTTTATGATTTCTCATATAAATAAATTAAAACGTTTTAAATAATTTATTACACTACGCGTTAATTTACTTAATTGACAAAGAGTTTGGTATATATTTCTTCGAATAACTGGTTTAAAAAACTTGTATCCAGTACCGAAAGTCATTACATTAAAAATAAGATATTTTTTGTATGGCAACAACTAATATTAATAATGTTGATTTTGATAGAATTGTAAAAAGTACGAGTACCCCTCCCAGGTACTCCCAGGATGAGAAATAGGTTAGAAAGAGTCACATCTTCTGTAGAGTACTTATTACATGGATTCCCGAAAAGTTCACAAAGCAACACTGTTTTATTGTGTACTGCTTTGCTTAGTCGTTTATCAGTTAGTCAGCATCCATATGCATAACAAGTACATGTAGAAGTAAAATAAACTAAAATAGTAAATATAAAAGGAAAAGTAAAAATAAATGTAAGTAAATATATTACATCGTTCAAGTCCACAGAATGATTTCCGGTCCACAAGCAGCGAAGGCATCTTCTGCATTTTTCACCATTTTCTGGTGAGTTTGTCTGCAATTTTTTGCCACAAGTTCCACCAAGATCCATATTTAAAAAAACCATATCTGAATTTTTTGACAAAGAATAATGAGTTTTGCATGGCAGTCCATTATCAATCTTGATGTCTCCTGATTAGAAAGCTCCTGATTTCTGCCTCTCTAGGATAACAAGGACTAGAACCTCTGACTTAATTCGCAAAAGCAAATCAGAGGTATCTAGGTTAATTTGTGTCTTCATAGAACACTGGTCCATAGGACTGCATGGAGCTAGACTTGGCCTACCCTGTAGTATCTCTTGCAGTGCGCGTCTATCAGCTCTCGAAGAAATGACACCAAAACACTTGATGTGTATTTGTCCAGGTCTGGCCAGAACTGGGGGGCCCCATTCTTTAATTTACTCGGCGTTAACTCCAGCATCAGCATAAGCATAAGCCAGTTTCTTGCATTTGTAAATACTTCTGGCTGGTTCTAGTCTAACCTTCTCCCTACTACCCACTATTACTAGGTTTTTGTGGATTCGAAACGGCTTTTTAGCTAATTGAGGAGGACTTGTCCTCCCTCCACCACAACTAACTAAACTAACTAACTTGAACAGATACGATTTTTTCTTCAATCTCCCTACATATCCTTTTAAATGTTCGTTATGGGTTTTATAAATGTAATATATAAATCCTACATATAATAAAAATATTATATTTTAATTTAATTAAAATAAATCCTATTTAATTCTTTA